TACATGGATGACATTGTCATATACGATTCATCCTTAAACGACCACAATACCAAATTGACAAACGTATTCCTCAGACTTAGAGAAAATAATTTAAAACTCCAACCTGATAAATGCGAGTTCTTGAAACAATCTTGCATTTATCTCGGACACAACATTACGAAAGACGGAGTATACCCCAATCCTGACAAAATCAAAGCAATCGAAACAATGCCTGCTCCAAAAAACATAAAATACATAAAAATCTGTCTGGGAATGGTTGGTTCCTATAGGAAATTTATAAATAACTTTGCTACAATTTCTAAACCTCTCACTCTACTACTAAGAAAAGACGCACCATTCAATTGGACCGAGAAACAAGAGAAAGTTTTCCAAACATTAAAAAACGCGTTAATTAGCAAACCCCTCCTTCAATATCCTGATTTTTCAAAAGAATTCATTTTAACCTGTGACGCTTCCAATGTAGGAATTGGCGGTGTTTTATCATGACTACATACGTTCACTACATCATAGACTCAATACATCTTTTCAAATTGCGCGTGAAAAAATAAATCAAAGTAAAGAAAAGAGTAAAGATCATTACGACAAACAATCAAATCCTAGAGAATTTAAAGTAGACGATCTCGTTTGTTTATACCAAAATCAAACCAAACCGGGATACTCCAAAAAATTGAGTAGTAATTTCAACGGACCATACAAAATAGTTCGAGTCCATCGAAACCAAACAGTTGATATCCAAATAGGAAAGAAGATAGTAAGATACCACACTAACTCAATTAAACCTTATTTTACAGATGACCAACATACATCTGACAATTCTGCTCCTACTCCCTTTCCTAACTCTCATAAAAGGTCAACATTATCAAAATAATCTCCTAACCCATTCAAATGCCCTGTTTTACGATAAAAAAGGCACAACATACATTTCCAACTCTAAATTAACACTTCTAACCCATACTAACATAACCCATCTTAACAACCTCAGAACTGCTGTACTCCATTACTTCACCAAATCTCAAAGTCTTTGCGTAAAAATTCTAAAAGAACCAACAAAACAATTATACCTTACCAACCATTGCAACAGCACTTTAAATCAAATCGAGAACGATATAAATAACATAAATAAAAAACATGAAATTCTCCAGCAATTGATTAATGAAAAATCAGCTTTCAGAAGTCGTCGAGGACTAATGAACGGTGTCTCATATGCACTTAATTGGTTATTTGGCACACCTGATGCTGATGACGCTAAATTCTATTTAGATAGCATAAAAATTCTGATAAAAGATAACACTCAGACGCAAACGTTACTCAAATCCCAAGTACAAATCATTTCAAGTACAATAAAAAATTTTAACAATTCTCTAAATTCCTTACATAGTCAAGAAAAGTTATCAAATAAAAATATGAACCTTTTAGAAGATTTTATTGAACATACCACTGATTATTTGAAGCAACTCATGTTTGAAAGCCTTATTAACGATCACATAAACATACTCTCTAACTTGCCAACAGAGCAAATAACGAATATACAGAAACAATAGAAGCTTTAAACTTAGGCAAACATAACATAATAACTCCATTATTAATTACTCCAAAAATTCTATTAGAAGAATTATCTAAATATAAAGGTGACAATAGCTTTTTATATGAAGTCACAAATGAAAACATTCTCATGCTATATCATCTATTACGTGTCGACTTGATCTTTCATGATAATAATATCATATTCGCTTTAAAACTACCTTTGGTAAATAATAACAAATTCGAGCTATATTAGTTGATACCTCTTCCCATTCAACATCACAACTCTTCCATATTTTCCTATATCAAACCTAGTTTCACCTTTACACCAACACATACATCCTGGAACCATCAGGCTTTGGAGAAGAAAACATTACTTACTTCGTACCCTCACCTATAATTACCGAGGATGACTGCTGTATAACAATGCCAACCAATAATGACTTAATCTCAGATAAACTAAAAACAATAAAACTCACCAATATAGATCTAAATGAACTGAGATTCGCTAACAAAAAATTAGACGAATTTGACCAAATCATTACAAAAAGATTATCTGAACCGTTCACGGTATCACACTCTAACTGGTTCACTATCGCTATAATTGATATAAGTGCCATAGTCTTCCTGATCATCCTATATAACTCCTGTAAATAGTGCGGATGTCTCAACCTTCTGAAAAGACTATGTTGTTTCACACGGAGCCCTCACGATGGCGAAATATTACCACCTATGATCAAAAACTTCATTAACTGCAACTTTGATTCCAATCTAAGAAGAGAATACCGTAACAGTGGGCGAGAAATAGTCGTCTATGATAGAGTTCATAGAAGAAATCCAAATTCAATTCTGCCAGAGGTCCCTGAAGAACCAGAAGGAACTGTAGCAGAGACACCAATAGTGCAACAACCCAATCAACATCTCAGAGGCAGAAGAAGCACGGCCCCAATATGACCACATATCCAAAATATTGTAATCACATTTTTAAATGTTTTCCCTTATTCAATTAATATTACAGTTATTTTAGATGAATTAACCTTAGAACTTAGAATATTCATAATAATTAATGTATAAGATGTATAAGATAATTTAAGAATCAATTTATATAATCGTAAAAATCCTATGTTAATCATTAATTTTAAAAGATAATTGTAAACAATATTTATACGTCAAGCTGTCATTCTAAAAATTTTATCGAGAGTATTGAAAAAGATAATTTTCAAACTAAAATTGGGAGGTGTAGGATAACTCACCTACGTTTACTTATATATATATACATATCCTCAGATAGCAACAGAAATTCTACCTGCCACATCCGAAAACAAACCCTTGCAGTCCAGCTCCTTAACCCCCTCTCTATGCATTTTCCTGACCACCACAGTATATAAAGGATGCATTTTTCCTAAACCTTACACTTATTTTCTGAACATTGTAAGAAAGCTGACGATAGAATTTTCGAATTTACAATAAAGAACTTGTCTTTGAATATTTTTCTATCTTGTTACTCTTGGACCCACAACAATTTTTATTTTATGTATTTGAATAAATGAATTTTTCTTTTTTACAATCATTACAATTAATTCTCAATGTTCTTGTATGATCTAATGACATGTAATGTTTGTAACATTTACGATGCAATAAGATATCTCTATCGAGTTGTAAATGTTCCGGTAATTTATCCCAAATATCGTCGATGTATTCTGGAACAATCTTCAAGAAAAAATACTTTGGAAGACAAGCAATATCTTCACTTGACATTTTTGTTATATTTTTTAATAAACAATACAATTTGAATGACTTCTCAAATGGGGTTTTTTCATGAAAATTCACCATATACCATGCTTTTAGAATTTTTACATTCTTTTCTGCACATTTTTTATTTTCTCCATTATGCACCCCACAATCTCTTAGATGATTCATATCCAGAACATGTAGCGAAGGACATCCAAGCTCATCCAAATTAATTACAACTTTTGAGTTGTCAATTAAACTTTCTAACCATTTTGTTTAATCTCCTTTCACGTAAATACGGTCTCGATCTTTAACAAGTACACGAAGAATGTGTGGAAGTTCATCATATGGTATTGTTCCAGATTTCCATGGAATGCCATGATAATTACGTATCAACCCCGAATTTATGCATTCATATTTTTCAGGTAAATATTCCCAGTGATATGGCGGTTTAAAAATTATCACTGAAATGTCTTCCATACAATCACTATTATCTTGGATTGTAATAGTCGCCAATTCTTTCACCAAAAACTGATTATTTGGCTGCTTAAAACCTTGAACATCCAATATCATTTCCATGATGCGCTCAAAAATTTGTATACATGCCAAAATGTAAAACCCAACTAAAAAGTTTTTTGGTAAATCATCTATTTATATGTTTATCCCCACTTTAAAATTATAACATCTAATTTTATTGTTTGATCACTACAACGATTGTCTATAAAATTGTATTTTTTTTTATTACATGTAATTTTCGATAGTCTGAAACGTTTAACGAAAATGATGATGAAACATCATACATTCGATTTTTTCTTGGAAAATCAAGCAAAAAATTCACATGATCTCAGGGCTGATTTATAACCTTGACATGTTCTGGAAATTTTCAGCGGGGGATGGTGATAGAACATGATGCAAACGTTTTTTTATATGATTGCATCAAAAATTGAAACATTCTGGAATCATTGTTTTGGAGGGGATGAATTGTATTTATACCCATGCAACTCATGTTTAAAATCACTGATCAATTGAAACTGTGAGAAATACATTGTTATACATAATTCAAACGGTAAAAATGGATCTATCAAGGGTAAATAAAATTGCCAAGTGTGAGACGTACTTACCAACCAAAAAGATGGATACATTAAAACCGTCTAAAACGTATAAAATTACTGGTTTGAAAGAACTTGAAACTGTGTATGGAACAAAAGTTGTGGCAACAGTTAAAAATAGCGACATAATATTTTTACCTCCAAGAACGGTGAAAATTTTGGAAAATCATAAAGAATTTGAAAAATTGGTTGAGTTGGCCGCTGACAACAGATTATCATTGTTGTACCATGGTGGAGCTAACAATACTTTTGAATTCATAGTTGATGATGAAATGTAATCTAAAATATTACATGTCAAACAAAAAAATATAATGGATACAATTGATGAAATGTAAATCTTACGATAATCAATGTAATCTAAAAAAATTTTCATGTTACAAAAATAATGAATACAATAAATAAAAAAAAAAATAATTTGAAATTATTTTTCTTTTGATTTAAATATTTCCCCTCTCTACATTTTAAGAGAATCGTTATTTAATGACGGTTAAATTTGGTGAGTGATATTCTCGAACTTTCAAGAAATTTTTTCGGATTATGGCACCACATTACAAGGTCATCCAAAATCCTATATAAATCTTTCCAAACACGCTTTCTCATCATTGTAATTCTGAAGTTTGTCTAGTATAGTCGAAAGAAATGAGTGCATTAAACTATTATTCTGATTCAATAAAAATGATGGAGGAGGCTTATACTCTTCTACCATCTTTGAATCATGAATCTAGTGAAATCATTGATAAATGGGTGCGAATTAGTAGTGACAATATTACTACATTAAACAGACATTTGCAATCGAGTGGTTTATCGGTTGGTGTAAAACAACGAATTCAATCGATAATTGCAGCACTCGCAACATTACATGAAAAGTTTATAAATCATTCAATCGTTGGAGGAAGCCTTCAGTCAACAGAACAATTGATTCGATGGAAAGATTTAGAAAATATTTTCCAAAATCGAATTCGCACTGGTGTTGTCATTAACTTGCAACATTTAAATTTACGAGACTTCTTATTGGATGCTAAAAAGCTGATTACCGAAAAGTTGACAGATATAGTAACAAGTGAGGAAAATTTAAAAGTGAACTTTGTCCTTGCTTGTAAATTCAGTAATCAAACAAATGATGAAACAGTTGTAGAAATTAAGTACTTTAATGTTAAAAACGAAGCAATTTTGCCGTCAACAGACATAAAAAAACATTTTCTGGAAAATGTTGTTGACAAACTACTAACAAAAGTCGAGGATTTTCAAGAACAAGATTCTGGTTGGTCACTTGGAGAAATTGAATATCTGCAAGTCAATATTAATCGTTATCAACCTCTATTAGCTGGACAATCTACATTTATACCTCTACCAAAATTTATCCAACAAAAAAAAGCAGTACTAAATATTAAAAACAACGATCAATGTTGTTTCTTTTGGGCTGTTACTGCAGCTCTTTATCTTGTTTTTGTAAATTCAACAAAAACAAATTCATATCCTGATTACAAAAGTGTGTTAAAATGTGAGGGTATCAACTGTCCCACAACCTTGCATGATGTTCCAAAATTTGAAAAACGCAACGATTCAGCAATAAATGTGTATGGTTTAGATGACTGTACGTATGGTTTAGATAATAGTTGTGAAATTATTCCGTTATATTTAAGTAAATATCATAAAGTAGATGAGCCATGTATTCACCTGTTAATGGTACAAAGTAGAGTAGAAGTAGGTGATGAAAATAATATTAATCCAGTTTTTCATTTTTGTCTGATAAAGGATCTTTCAAGATTAGTGGGAAATCGAATTTCTAAAAATGCACACAAACTATTCTTATGTGATAGATGTTTAAATCACTTTAAGATAGAAAAATCATATAAAAATCATCAAAATGATTGTATCAATATGAACGATACGCGAATTTCACTTCCGGAAAAAGGTGTTAAAATAAAATTTGAAAATTTTCATTTTAAAGAGCCTGTGCTATTTGCTATCTATGCCGATCTTGAGAGTATTCTTGAACCTGATAATGAAGGTGATCAAAAGCATATTCCATGTAGTGTAGCCTATTATAAGCACTGTACATATGACAGTTCAAAATGACGATTTAATCTTAAACGTGACGTTAATTGTATAAACTGGTTCATGACTGAGTTAAAAAAATAGCTGAAACTGTTAAATTTACCTAGAAAACGTAGTACCAATGAAACTATTAACATCCCAACAGTTAAACGATTTTCGTAATGCAAAAATCTGTCACATTTGTAATAAATCTTTTTTCATGATGAAACGAAAGTACATGATCACTGTCACTTTACAGGCAATTATCGAGGCGCTGCTCATGTTAATTGTAATTTAAACTATCAAAATTCATGCATAATTCCAGTCATTTTTCATAACCTCTCAGGATATAACTCACATTTTTTTATTAAATCATTAGCTGCATCATTTAAAGGTTATATGGAATTATTACCTGTCAATAAAGAAAAATACATAGCATTTACAAAAACAGTTGATCAGAAAATTTCCCACGAAAAAAGAAAAAAAGAAATATTTGTTAAATTACGATTTATTGATTCTTTCCGATTCATGAGCAATAGTATTGAGAAACTTGCATCATTTTTGGATAATAACGCAAAATCAATTACCAAAAGTTTCTATCCCGAGCTAGATAAATTTCAGTTAGTAACTCGTAAAGGTGTTTTCCCATATGAATGTATTGACAGTTGGGAAAAACTTGACGAACAACAACTACCTGACAAAACAAAATTCTATTCGAAACTCAACGATTCGGCCAATTCCGATGCCGATTACGAATATGCACGCCACGTTTGGGATCAATTTCAACTAAACACCCTCGGTGAATATTCAGATTTATATTTAAAAACAGACGTTCTTCTGTTAGCAGACATTTTTCAAAATTTTAGACAAAGTTGTATCTCTATTTATGAGCTTGATCCGTTACATTACTACACTGCACCTGGATTAGCTTTTGATGCTATGTTGAAATATACAGAAATTGAACTCGAACTCTTGGACAATGTGGAAATGCTTAATTTCATAGAAAAAGGTATTAGAGGAGGAGTGGCACAGTGTTCAAATTGATATGCAAAAGCTAATAACCCGTATATGTGTAATGATTATAACCCCAATGAAATATATCATATCTCATGTATTTTGATGTAAATAATTTGTATGGAGCAGCAATGAGTGAGTACCTACCAACTGGATCATTCAGTTATTATTCTTTTCTCCTTGTTCATGATGTTGCTGATCAAGATATTTCCGAATATTTTCTTCCAATTGTTTAATACTTTCAGCTTGTTTACGATTTGCTTTTTTCAGTAAACGTAATCGATCTGACTCATGCAGTTCAATTGTTTCATCCAATTCTTCTTTCAGACGTTTACGATGTTCTTGTGATGATTCAATATGTTGCTCTACTTGAATATTAATAATTTTGATTCTTTCTCTATTTTCTTCAACAATTCTTCTTAAATTTGCTACAGTTTCGCGTAACAGACGTAATTCTATTTCAATAAATTTTTTTAAAATTGTAATCTTTTTTTCAATTATTCCTAATGATGTTGCATTATTCAAATCTACTGGTTCAGCGAGATTACACAATCTCTTATTATCCATGTCAAACTGTTGATCCACAGTTAATTTGAATCCTTCACCAGGAGGCCCACGAACAGCACTTTTACAATATCTTTCGCTAATTGTCGTCCAAAAACGTCAACACTCATTTTTAAACCTCTCACTTCAAAAGTTCTTAAAAGAATGAGTAGCTGTGTAGAATACATCAGATTAATAAATGATTTCAGCTTCACGCAATTCCTCTAAAATTGATAAAATTTCGTTAGTATGACTGAAATTTCCAGCAGTTTGAGATGCAATAAGTAAACGAAGTCGATCTACAAGTTCATTGAGATCATCCCAATAAATATAATCGGTAGGATGATTTTGTTTATGTTTAATCATATATTGTGGTAAACTTTCTCCACTTTTTGGTATATATTTACTGATTATGTCGGTGAATTTTTTTAAATTCTTATCTACTCTGATACTTCTGTCAGGAAGATAATGCTTTCGATAGGCGTTTATCATACTGATAATTCTGCCATAAGTGTTTTCATCTTGTTTTGTTATTTTTGATTGATCAGGTGAATTCATAAATAATAATTCCAATAGACCAGAAGTAGTATTGTATTTTTTATCACCAATATAAATAAAATTATTGTCGAACCTGACTTCAGAATCACCCATCATCAGTCGATTACCTTTTAACTTTCGTATGCCATACTTTGTATCTAATTCTTCGGACAAGAGCTTAGAATCGAACATCTTCAAATTCCTTACTACAGGTATGTCTTTAATAGGAGTACTTTGATGGGTAATTGTTGCTGTTGTATAAGAATCATCATCAGTTATTTCATAATCAGGTGTAAGGCTTTCTTGTTTGCTTTTAACTTCTTCTTTAGGTTCTTCTTTTTTTATTTTTTTTTCTTGAGGTTCCTCTTTAATAAGTGTTTTATCAGCTAATTATTTAAGAGGAGTCACCATAGGTTTAAATATTTCACTCATGGTTTGTTGAGTCATATCTCTTCTAAGTTTAATCAACTTATGCTTTTGGCGTATTGCATCATTAGCTTTCGCTATTTGATGCAATATTTTTTTTCCATGTTGATACTTTGACAATCACATACATAATGTACAATTTAATATATTCACAGTGAATTTATACTTATGAAGCAATCAAATCCTCTTCTATATCGACCATTATTAAGATCACTGTCTTTATCAATTACCAAGAAGCCATATTTATCATTATTCCAGCATGTTCTGACTTGGAGGGCCCCAAGTCAGCAAGTCTCAGAATATTTGAAAATTGTTAATGCCGGACTTGTCTACCGGCGCGTCAGTCAACTCACTGGACCAATCATCGGGAAGTATTTCCCTCATGGCCCAGAAGGCAACTCTACGGCCCTAGTGACGCCAACAAGCACGCGGTCGAGCACTTGTGGAGTCAGTTAGCTCCAGGCAAATCACGCGGTCATCTCTGTATAATTGTTCGCAGTCAAATCGCGGTTTTGTGCAGTCAGCTCACCTTTGGTAGTACCAAATACAGTCAAGTAGACTCAGACAACTTTCACGAACAAAAGTGAATCATCATCATTACTCTCATCAGTGCCAGTGGTCCAGTATAGTCAGTTGTAGTGTCTTTGGGCGCGAAGCTGAACTGGCGTCGACGCCATAGTGCCTCACGGACAGTCACACATACATCACACACTCGAACAACTCAGGTGTATAGTGTGCCTGTTGCTATTCACTGTTTGAGACTTTTTTTGGTGAAAAAACAACTATCAGACAGTTCAAAAGTGTATGAACAATTAATGTACAGTCAACTCACATAAACTTAGTGATTATTAATTTCTATTGTTTAAGTTAAGTGTTAGTTGTTAATAAAATCTATAAAATCCATACAATTTGGTGTTAAGGAACTATTTTTAAGGAACCTTCTAGCATCCAACCTGTTTCGTTATTCTGCTCTCATTTATTACAGTCCACTAGATTTTAGTTTGCTCGTCCGGCCGACTCGAAGTCAGAACACAGCACATTGAACATATATCTCGAAAATAAGAATAAGTCATGTCAGTATTTTCATGATCATCGTAAATGTGTTTTAGATTTATGTCATCTTGCCTGAAAAGTACAAGAAAGTTTGTATTGTCACGCACCAAATGTTCAGGAATTCGTGCATAACTTTGACAAAGATAGAAGCAGTCAATATCTTTATGTCGTCCCATACAAAAATAGGTTCGCAGATTATCTTGTTTTTCGCATGCTACGTCATCGAAAATCATAATTGAGTTGGGTTTTGCTTCATCCGATTTTACCACTTCCTCATGCTTATTAAAAGCATAAAATTTAATACCTTCAATTGGTTCAATTATTTTTTTTAAAAACTGATATTTAGGTTGGTTAAATGATTTTGAATACAAATAAATATTTTCAAATCGTAGGCCATTTGGATGTACAATAAGTGCTAAAAGAGTATTTGTCTTTCCACAATTTGATGGACCACAAATAACACCACGGACACTATTTGGTAAAAGTTGTCCGTGACGTTTGATATTTGTGTCTCGTAATAGGTCAAAGATAATTACAGGCAACTCAATGTCTTGTTGATTGAACTTCATCTTGACCTAGAATGACATTTTAGCTATAAATTTACATCCTTCATAGGTGTCGAGTTAGTCGTTTTTGAACAATAATAGTGCAAAGACGTATCAAAAAACGAGGTGCTGGTATTGTTAACACACTTATAAACAAATTGCCATTCGAACTTCATATACCCGGATATCATTATTGTGGTCCGGGAACTAAATTAAAGGAGAGATTAGCATGTGAAGATCCAGGAATCAATCCATTGGATGCTGCTTGTAAAGAACACGACATTGCATATTTGCAAAATCGAGATAACATTGAAGCTAGAAACGCAGCTGATAAAATACTTGCTGAAAAATCTTTGAAACGTGTTTTCGCGAGAGACGTAGATATTGCTGAACGAATTGCTCCTTTAGGAATTTCCAACGTCATGAAAGTTAAATCGAAATGAGGAATGGGTTTGAAAGAGAAAAACAAAAAGGACACGGAAGTTTAACATTTGCAAAAAGTTGTTAATTCAGCAGAGCTTATGTTAAATTCTAGCTCAGATCCTATTAAATTTGTATTAGTTGCTGCACGAAAGACTGTTCGCGATGCTGGTGGAAAGAAAAAAATCAAAGTTCCACGTATTATACCAATGCCGCAAGAAGTGGGAGGTATTTTACCTCTTATACCTCTATTTGCAGGCTTAAGTGCAGTTGGTGCTGTAGCAGGTGACGCTGCTGGCATTGCAAAAGCAATTAATGATGCTAGAAACAATCGTCAATTAGAAGAAGCTAAACGACATAACGAAAAAATGGAAGCAATAGCTTTGGGTAAAAGTCTACGTCTAAAACCGCACAAGAGAGGATTAGGATTGTATTTGTGACCGGCAAAAAAAAATCTTTTCAATTTACCCCATCGTGCACTGGCTGATATTGAACTTCAAGAATATGCAAAAATCATGAAAATACCCTTTTTTCATGGTGTTTTTATGCGAAATGATCTTCCAAAATCTTCACCGTGGAAAAATAAATCAGCAATTATTAATCTCGATGATAAAACTGGACCTGGAACTCATTGGGTGGCATATAAAAAACGTGGTAATAAAGTTATATATTATGACAGTTTTGGCAATTTGCAGCCACCACATGAGCTTATGAAATATCTTAATGTTGATAAAATACTGTACAATCATGAAAAACATCAAGATTACAGTACAGATAATTGCGGACACTTGTGTTTAAAATTTTTACGTAGAAAAGTATAAAAGTAATATGCACTTTCCAATAAGCATCAGTCTTGATGATTCTCTCACGTTAACATTGTCTGGACAAACGTCCATTCTAGAAGCGTTTTATTTTCCGCCAATTGAATTATCATCATCTAAAAAATATACCCTAGGACTTGTGGAATTGTTAACCTTCAATTCCATTTCAAATATTGATAACGGCAATAATAAATTTTATTATACACTCAATGGTGAAGATAAAAGTATTAAAATACCCACAGGAAGCTATGAAATTGAAGACATTGAAAATTATTTGAAGAAAGCTGATACTCAATTATCAATTTCTATTAAGCCTAATAATAATGAACTACACAGTGAAGTTTACAGTGAAAATGCAACAATAAATTTCAAACCGCATGATTCTATTGGTAGTTTGTTGGGCTTTAGTCCACGAGTTATGTTTCCAAAATTGACTCACACATCAGATTTACCAGTTTCTATCTTGAAAATTAATGCATTAAGGATTGAATGTAATATTACTACAGGAGCATACATGAATAATCAGTTGGTACATACGATTCACGAATTTTTTCCCATCAGTTCCACCAGGATATAAGATCATTGAAGTTCCATCAAACGTCATTTATCTTCCAATCACCGTACAGACAATACATAATTTACAACTGCGCATTGTTGATCAAGACGGTTAATTGGTTAATTTACGTGGTGAAACTGTAACAATACGTTTACATTCGAAATCAGTCACGTAATGGGGATTGTTTATAAACCAATAGTAGGAAGAAGCTATAAAACTAACATATCATGCCTGAATCTCATCAGTCATCGAAGAAAATTCAAACGATTAACTTATCAAAATCGATTATTCCTACAAAGTCTGGGACTAAAAATACGCAAAAGTGCAACAAAGTTAAAGTGAAAGTGTGTTGTCTTGCATGTCTTTTACCATGGATGAAGAAAAATTAGCAATAAGCAAAGGTGTCATATTTGATGAGTCTATTGCACACATTGAGGTGCATGCTCATCAACCATATGCATCTACAACATATAATAATAATGATGAGATACATATCTCAGTTTAACATCAAGATTTATGTCTGTTGCCAAGCAAAAGTTCCCTTCATATTATGGGAAAATTTACAAAATCTAACGGAAATGCAGTAGCAGCAACATCAAGATTCGTTCATATGGCCGTATGCTATTTATTTGAAGAAATACGATATGAATTGAATGGTGTTGAGATTGATCGAAATAAAAATGTTGGTCTTACAAGTCTCATGAAGGGATATCTATCTCTTCATCCAGATCAAAAAAATTATTTAGATAATGCAGGTTGGGTAACTGATAATGAAAGATTTTTTAATGATAATGGGTACTTTGATGTTTCGATACCGTTACATATGCTATTGGGATTTGCTGAAGATTATCGTCGCATAATTGTCAATGCCAAACATGAATTAATACTTACTCGTTTAAATACCGATCTTAATGCAATTGTACAAGCTACAGCGGAACCTGAAGAGACGATCACGCTCATAAAAATTGAATGGATCATTCCTTATGTTATTGTTGCAGACATAAAAAAAGTAGAATTGTCAAGTTACATTGCAAAAGACCCACCGATTTCAGTGAGTTTCAGATCATGGGAATTATATGAATATCCAATACTGCCGAACACAACCAAACACGTATGGGTCGTAAAAACGTCAACTCAATTGGAAAAGCCCCGCTATGTTATATTAGGATTTCAAACTGCACGCAAAAATGATGCTACAAAAGATGCAAGTCATTTCGATCATTGTGATTTAAGGGATGTAAAACTTTTCCTCAATTCACAATGCTATCCATATGGCAACATGAATCTTGACATAAGTCACAATCGATTTGCCTTATTGTATGATATGTATAGAGATTTCCAACATCATGTTATGATAAAGAAGCAGAACCTCTACTCACGAAAAAAAAATTTATAGATATAGCACCACTCGTTGTAATTGATTGTTCTCAACAAAATGAATCCTTAAAATCAGGACCAGTTGATGTTCGACTGGAATTTAATTCATCAAAAGCTTTTCCTGCTAACACATCAGCCTATTGTTTGATCTTACATGATCGAATAATAGAGTATAAACCTTTAAGTGCGCAAATGAGAAAACTAACATAATATATTGTGAAAAAAATATATATATTATATAATTATGATTATATTATTCATGTATTAATCAATTTTTTTTTGCTATAAATAAATTGTGAACACAAAAAAGATTACTATTTTCATTCATTTATTTCAAGAAAAACCCGATAGTCGGTAGCGCAAATTTGAGAGAATATTAATACATTGACAAAACTTTGAAAATCAGTTATTTTTGCTAATAGTGAAATTTTAATCGCGGTTGGTAAAAAAAAAAAAATCGGTATTGTCATTAAAGATAATTTATCAAGGACGGTAAAAAAAAATCACAATCAATCGCTGCCGATAATTTATCGCCAAAAAGGTATCGCAATCGGTATTATCGCTAAAGATAACTTATCGAGGACGGTGAAAATCGATATTATCACTGTCGATAACTTCTCACAATTGGTAAGTCGGTAACTTATCGTCAAAGTCATCGCGGTCGGTAATTAGTGCGGATCAGAACCCGCTTTTTTGACTTGGCCGGTATTGCAGAGTGATCCAGAACCGGCCCTGCTGATCTACTTTTACAAATTTCAAAATTCAAGTAGTTCACCATCTTTTCCAGTTTTTTGATTCTGCATAAGAAACTACTAGACCGACTTTGCTGAAAACCTAATCAGTTCTAAGTTGCGCAATTACGTGTCGAATGCAGTTGATTCCACGTCGATATCATTTTTTGTTTTCGTACATACGTACATACACTCACAGATGTCTACCGAAAAACGGTCTCATTCGACTCTGGGGATTTCAAAACGTGGATATATGTCATAATTCGGGATTCGCAAAATCAGACCTATTACTGTAGGGAGTTTCTATAAGAAATGAAAGTAGAAATTTGAATTAAAAATTGATCGATTCAATAAGATAATCCGACTTGAAATGTTCTTCCTTATCTCCAAATGCCGCAAAAGAATTCAGCATTATTTAAAAAGTTGAACTCCTCCGACATTGAATCGTAAATACCTACTGAAAAGCAAAATCCTGAAAAGGACCCTCGCGGTTTGTAGAAACTGCAATTCTACGGTTAAAAAATCGTTAAAACTCGGTTAAATTTAAGGATGTACGAGGATAAGAGAGAGGGAAATCGAAATTATTGGAAGAAGGGGTAGAATGTTTATGTGTGTAAGTTAAGTAAGAATGTAGTCACGTGATTTCTACTTTATATTTGGCAACGTTGTAATTAGTTTGTGAAGGAATAGTTCGAATTTAACATATAAAATCATGTTTACACGTGATAAAAAAGAAAAATTCTGTAAAAAAAGAAAATTGGCAAATGCTGAAAGCATGGAAAAGCAAAGCAAAAAAGAAGATGTTCTAGAAGATCCTAACCTAGGTTTGTTGGATATTAATGTCCAATATTAATGATTACATATATATTTTTTTACATATTTATGGTTATATTAAGTAATATTATTATCAGTTATCTGGCAAATGTTTCTAAGATGACTGTCTTCATGATTTTTCTTTTTGTAGAGTGCGATATTCATGGTAGAAGAGTTCTTCATATGCCAACAATTAGCTAAGAAATGTGGTGTGACAACTGTAATGATTCTTTATTTTTTCGGTACATCAAATAGTAACTAATCGTTGGTCTTACGAGTATTTATTCTATACGTTGTCATAGGTGCAACAAGATGCATGAAGTTAAAACATCTCAACAAACTCATTGTAGAAAATATGATGTTGATGGAAAAGCTGCCATGGGTAAAAAATATTCAAATTTGTTAGAACAGACAAAAGTTTCTATTCCATGTTTATGAGTTTGTCATTTATGACATTATTAATATTTGATGATAATTTATATTTTGTTTATAGCTATACTAGTTGCTGGTGTGGGTACATCACATTTGAACAGCATTTTCGTTACATCAAATATTCCACCAGTTTATGATTGTCTTCTAACACGATATGAAAGAGATATAGGTGTTGAAATAGAACAAGGAGCTCAAGAAAGTTGTCGGGAAAGCTTAAAAATAAAAAAAAACTTTAACGAATAACAATTTAAGGTAATATCATAAATATTGTAAGTGATTAAATTTGTCTGTTA